GAGAAAATAAGGAAAGTGTGTCCAGCTGAATTAATTTAGTATTTTGTTAGACGGGTATAAAAAAAAGCTTAGTTTACCGCGGCAGCCGTCGTGTAAAGACATCGACTCCACCAGGCAGGACACCGGCAAATGTATCACGTAGTATTTTTAATACTATTTTAATACTACAATTGATTGCTTCTGTTGTCCTCATTTGTAAGTCGCTTTCGATAAAAGCGTCTGATAAATGACTAAATAAATAAAACATTAGAAAGTAGATATTTAATTTGTATTTTTTACTGATAAAACAACAAAAAAAATAGTTTGTCTCAGTAAATTGAGTAAATTTAAAAATACAGTGGTTAAATGTAAAAAAAACAATTATATTGCTCTTTGTTTTAAAAAAAAAGGTTTATACCAAACGATATGAAACATTATATGGTTGATCAATTTTTTTAGCTATATCGCCCAGCCCTAGCCGATACTAGTTTTAAGTGCATACTCTGGTGCACTTTTGTTGTAATTTTCCGTGTGAACATTATTTGCACTATTTATACTACACAGTGGCATAGAAGAGTGCATTAAGGGACACACTTAAAGTGCAGTAAACACTAAAATATAAATAATTAACAAATTAAAGTTGCAGTATGTACTATTGACTGCTAGCGGTTGAAATGGGTACTGCAGTCCAAATTCAAAATACTGGAGTTGTTTCTCTCGCCCCTTCTCCTCAGACTCAATGGGTTGCCAGGTTGAGTAAGTTGACGAGTTGATTTATCCGCGTTTAATATGCTTCCTGTCACAGAGCTTTTTAGGTGGATGGAGAGGCTGTGTAGGGCGGGTAGAATCTGCGATTTCAGACTCGTTTGCTGGCTTCCATGGCTGCAATATGCTGTTTTCCAGCAACTGGCAACCCGGGGTAAACTGGCAGTAGGCGGAGTCACACAGACCCAAGCAAAAACAGACATTCTGACACTGAATGCACATTTCGAAGTAGACAGAGAAGCAAGTATGTGAACTTAGCATGTTTCCTAAATATCTGCAAACAAATGGTATTTTATGCTTTATTAGTAAAAAAAAAAAACTTAAAAATGAATACAGAAATAAATACCAGTTTGTAAAATCAAGCAACATTTACCATCTATTGAATTTTCACAAACGCAGTCCATCAGAAATTTTGTGAGGACAAAAGATTTCCCACACAGATTTCACAATGCATTCAAGTCAGTCACACAGACTCGCTGCATTGATCTTGGTCTGAAAGTGACTTCTGTGTGAGCTGTGCTTCATGCATCTACACTACTGACAATGGACCTTTTGTTATGTACTTCTTCTGTGGGTTCTTCATGGTATTTTTTTTTTGATTTTGGAGTACTCCTACAGGCACAAGGCATGAACAACAGGTAATAATTCTCACAAGCTGTTTATTGAAAATGCACATACTGGATAGAGGAGGGCTCTCATTCCACTGATACAGGCCCCGATGCGTATTTATTGCTTCATTTTCATGGCACAAAAATAGAAATACAAATTTCTGCCATGCAAACCTACTACTGTCAAGCTTATACAAAACAGGACAAAGCAGGGGCTTCACTAATACAGAGGAACAACCATGGCATTAAGATGGCATAACTGCAGAAAGTGAGACGATAAAAAACGAGAGTACAAAATAATGGTCGTAAAAAAGGACACCACCACACAGTGATAGATGGGCCAGAACACGTCCGATAACAACCTGCACTCGCAGCATTCACGTGCAAGTAGTGCTTGAATAAACGAGAAACAACTGGAACAAACATAACAGACTGCATTCCCAGAATGCTGTGCAAATAATCTCCATCACCTCCTTCATCTGTCACGAACACATCACCACTATCAAACACTTGACCACAAAACGCTCATCTGACCTCCGACGACCCGCAGAACTCTCCATCCTCGCATCCTTCCTTCGCTAGCTCTCCGATAAGACTTTATTATCAGTTCAGCTCAATGCCAGCAGCATGTTAAAGCCGATACTGTTACGATATGAGCCGGCAGCTGAAAAGTGACCATGACGGATCAGATGATATGCTGAAAAGTGCTGACTCCTGACATGAGGAGGAAACCTCATCCTGTGCTCTAAAGTCACATGACACATGATTATGACAGCATGTGCGTCACACATCAGGAGTCGGGGTCATCTAATTATCATATTCTTCTAACTAACAGCATTATTGGTCATGACCGGATGCGTTCAGACTGAAGTTGAATGTTGAATGTGTGCACACTGGCAAACCAAGAGTCTAGAGGTGAGAAAAACCCATAAGGACACATTAACGTACAAAATAACAAACTCCATCTATTCATGCTAACTATAGCATCAGAAATGATCTACTATGTACCACTGAGATCTAACGTGTCAGTTTGGCATATATATTCACTTTCATTTCATCATCGTCAGTCAGATGTATATCACGCAGACATACAGCTATGAGTCATTTACGCATGAATCGGGAAGAGTTTGTGACTGGATTAGCTTTTGTCAGTCCAATCAGATGATCCAAGTGTCATTAAAAAAAAAAAGAAAAAAAGAGCACCAGCTTGATACAAGAGTCCTCTGATTTGTAACCGAAAGCTCAGGGGCAAAAAAAATAAATTGCACAATAATTCACTGTGCCAATACGTTGAAATCAAGAAAAACACTGAAATATTTAAGCCTACATACAGAATCGTATAGTCTGTACAAGTATACATACATAGGACCCAAATCATACCCTCTAAGAGCATGAATTAGGGCGAGGAGGAGTGTGATGTGGGTGTTGAAATATGACCATCTGTGTGGTCTGAGGAAGAGTTCAGTGCTTGATGTCTATATATATGTAGAACTGATGCGATTACTCAACGCAGCACGATTCTCAGTATGAGAAAGCTTGTGGAAAAGAAAGACAAAAATCTGAATATCAAACTCTCAAGGGAACTTCGTTCTTCCGGTAGGTCACTTTTTTTAGATGACAGAGGACACGTGTTTCTTCTTCTTCTCCAGTGGTTGCCGTTGATGGAGTACCGTCAGGGTGTTGAGATGGTGCAGGCTCCTGGAACGGGGCGCTTTAGATGGACTTGGATGAATCCTGCTTGCTGATGAGGACCTCCAGAAGCCGCAGTTTGGCTTTAATGCGCTTGTACTCCTTGTATTCGTCCATCATAGGCATGCGGTCTTCCTTCTGAACATTCCTGTGGGGGAAAAAAAACATTTTGTTTAAATACAATGCTGATATGATGAAGATAAAACAATGCATTTATGTTCGTTTTTAACCACTGGTCATGTCAGGCGAATTTCTTTGCATTACAGAGCGTGCAATGAGACGGCGTCAAGTTAATAATGCGCTTGTACTCCTTGTATTCGTCCATCATAGGCATGCGGTCTTCCTTCTGAACATTCCTGTGGGGGAAAAAAAACATTTGAAGATAAAACAATGCATTTATGTTCGTTTTTAACCACTGGTCATGTCAGGCGAATTTCTTTGCATTACAGAGCGTGCAATGAGACGGCGTCAAGTTATCGGTTACTTAATGGTTGTTCTACAGTAGATCAATATCAGTTGTATGAACTGAACAGAATCTGATGGAGGGTCAGGTGTACTAAGTGTTTACAGTAGCAATTGTAACATTTGTCTGGTGCAATGTCTTATCACTCAGTGTCTGATGACCCTGACTTATGCAAAATATCATCAAGAAAATTACAACAAAAACATGCAATGACAAGCCAGGGTGTTAAAAACAAAAAAAAAAGATTTCTGTTCTACAACGCCACTGTGATTCGTTTCAAATCAAGACAATATAAGCTAAATGTCTTTAATCAGAATATTAAAAAAAAATCCCGGTTTAAAGAGATACAGTATACAGAAAAATTATAGTCAATTATTACAATAAATTAAACACTTAAAATAACTATTTTCTGTTTGAATATAGTGTAAAATGTAATTTATTGCTGTGATCATGATGCGATTACTCAACGCAGCACGATTCTCAGTATGAGAAAGCTTGTGGAAAAGAAAGACAAAAATCTGAATATCAAACTCTCAAGGGAACTTCGTTCTTCCGGTAGGTCACTTTTTTTAGATGACAGAGGACACGTGTTTCTTCTTCTTCTCCAGTGGTTGCCGTTGATGGAGTACCGTCAGGGTGTTGAGATGGTGCAGGCTCCTGGAACGGGGCGCTTTAGATGGACTTGGATGAATCCTGCTTGCTGATGAGGACCTCCAGAAGCCGCAGTTTGGCTTTAATGCGCTTGTACTCCTTGTATTCGTCCATCATAGGCATGCGGTCTTCCTTCTGAACATTCCTGTGGGGGAAAAAAAACATTTGAAGATAAAACAATGCATTTATGTTCGTTTTTAACCACTGGTCATGTCAGGCGAATTTCTTTGCATTACAGAGCGTGCAATGAGACGGCGTCAAGTTAACGGTTACTTAATGGTTGTTCTACAGTAGATCAATATCAGTTGTATGAACTGAACAGAATCTGATGGAGGGTCAGGTGTACTAAGTGTTTACAGTAGCAATTGTAACATTTGTCTGGTGCAATGTCTTATCACTCAGTGTCTGATGACCCTGACTTATGCAAAATATCATCAAGAAAATTACAACAAAAACATGCAATGACAAGCCAGGGTGTTAAAAACAAAAAAAAAAGATTTCTGTTCTACAACGCCGCTGTGATTCGTTTCAAATCAAGACAATATAAGCTAAATGTCTTTAATCAGAATATTTAAAAAAAAATCCCGGTTTAAAGAGATACAGTATACAGAAAAATTATAGTCAATTATTACAATAAATTAAACACTTAAAATAACTATTTTCTGTTTGAATATAGTGTAAAATGTAATTTATTTCTGTGATCAAAGCTGAATTTTCAGCATCATTACTCCAGTCTTCAGAAATCAGTCTAATATTCTGATTTGCTGCTCAAGACACGTTAATTGTCAATGCTAAAAACAGATCTGCCATTTCATATTGTTGTACAAAACACATTTTTTCCCAGTTTTTTTTTTTTAAATGAATAGAATTGTTGCATCACAGGAATAAATAAAATTTTAAATGTTTATTAAAATAGAAAACCGTTATTTTACATTGTAACAATATTTCACACAATCTTTTTTTTTCTGTATTTCTGATCAAATAAATGCAGCCTTGATGAGCATAAGAGACTTCTACCTATAAATTGGGCATCATTTCTATAGTAATTCACTCAATCTGATGACATAATACGAAAGTACGATACAGACAATAAGAGGGCGAGGCTTAGAAGGCTGGACAATTCTGTGCTTTAGAACAAGAACGTCATGTTCCCTGCTTGAAAACATCATACATTTCTACTGATCTACCAACTCAGGCAGAATATTGCCCACCGCTGGCTTCTGTCTAGTGCAGGGTTCCTCAAATCTTGCCCTGGAGGGCCAATGTGCTCCAGAGTTTAGCTCCAAACCTGATCAAACTCACCTACCTGTGATTTTCTAATGATCCTGAAGACATTGATTAGCATGCTCAGGTGTGTTTGATTAGGGTTAGAGCTAAACTCTGCAGGAAAGTGGATCTCGTGGCCCAGATTTGAGGATCCCTGGTCTAGTGTGTTTGATCTCAAAAACATGCCCCCTCTGCGCGCTCGGATGAAATGAACGTGGGACGCCTACCTGCCATTCTGTTGGTAGAACTCATCTTCAAACTCTCTGATGGTCCTCCTCAGTTTCTTCTTCTCCGCTCTGGCCTTCCATAGCTGTTCCAGGAGCTCGGGCCTGTGGGATACAGGTGGTGTTAAACTGCTGGGTTTCCATAGATGGAGCTATGTAACTGTGTACTCAAAACACTCCTAAGCGGGATACAACCTTTGCATGACAAGAGCACGGCTCTGAGGTTAACTCGGATCTGTAAAAGTTAGTAACCAGGTGACATGGATCTCGGCGGCACCCAATACAGTACGCGAGACTTCGATCTGGATGCTTGTGCAGTTGTTTTCCTTCATACAGCATTACGGCTTGATCAAGCTCAAGATTTTCAGGTCTCTGCCAAGTTCTATTAATAGACCTCATATGATGAGAGCGTGAGCCGATTGCTGCTCCTACCTGATCAAGTGTGGAACTATGTGTGTAGACACGCATGCACATAAATCAAGGTGTAGAAATCGAAGTCTCATTACTTCTGCCAGTGTAGGTTACACTTTCAACCCAAGACCTGCTGGGTAATTCCAGACTGAAGCCTTCAACATTGCTTCAGATTTAAAGGAACAGTTCACCCAAGAATAAAAATATGCAGAAATGTAGTCTCCCTCAGGTCATCCAAGATGTAGATGAGTTTGTTTCTTCATCAGATTTGGAGAAATGTAGCATTACACCACTTGCTCGCCAATGGATCCTCTGCAGTGAATGGCTGCCGTCAGAATGAGAGTCCAAACAGCTGATAAAAACATCACAAAAATCCATTCCCTGTTGTCCTTTCACATCAAAATTCACCGACATGTTTTCTCTTGTCAACAGTGCTTCATCTGTGCATATTTCTCTCCAGATTCAGACCAGACAACTTTTTCACGGGAGAAAGCAATATTATGAATAAAGGACTTTTTCGCAGTTTGAAGTTATAAACGTCTTGATGGATTTGTTTCTTACAAACACACAGCTTTTCACTTCTCCAGATGTTAACTGATGGACTAGAGTGGTGTGGATTACTTGTGGATTATTGTGATGTTTTTAATCAGCTGTTTGGACTCTCATTCTGACGGCACCCATTCACTGAGGAGAATTCGCTGGTGAACAAGTGATGGAAAGTTACACTTCTCCAAATCTGTTACAATGAAGAAACTCACCTTAAATGGCCTGAGGGTGAGTACATTTTCATATTTGGATGAACTGTTCCTTTAAATCAATACGGAACAGCATTTCCATTCTACCTCCATACTGTTCGAGGAATATTTAGTAAGAAAGTAAATATCAATTTTGATTTTCTGGTCCACACTCACATTGAGGAGGCGTTGGAACTGGACAGACGCAGATCAAGATTGAGCTTCCCAGAGCTGAGGACGTTCTCCTGAGTGGGCTGCTGGGAGCTGGGCTGGGCTACTGGGTCCATGATGATTTCCAAACCCTCGCGCTGCATCTCTACATTTTCCTGCTGGCCCCTGCCCTCCTCCTCCTCCTCCTCCTCCTCCTCTTCTTCGATCTCACCACAGAAGTGGGCAGTTTCGCCCTCGATGATGGGCTGTAGCATCTGATTGCGCCGTTTGCTGGAGGGAGAAGCCTGTGCGAGAGAGGAGAGTCCGGTTATTCTGCTTCCTCTGTACAAAGACTGTCCATACAATCCTAAAACAACACTAGATCCTAATTCAGCTCTAGAAAGCAGTATCAGCTTTCATTTCACAATCCTATCATATCTCACCCACTTTCAATATCATTCTTAGAATATGCATTAATTATAAACGCCAGACTTTTCAGGTTTCAGATTGCAAACATGAATTATAAATGATTTATAACACGAAATACCCAAAAGGCTAATGTGGGAGTGGTCAAAAAAAAGAGGAACAGAGTGCCTTACTATGATAGGGGTGATGCTGACACGGGTGAGCATCTGCTTGACCAGCCGATATCTGTCATACAAGGGTTTCACAATCAAGCGCTCCTCTCGGGTCACCTGCAAGAAAGACACTTTTGTCAGAGCACTGCATACATGAGGAAGTTTTTGTGCGTGTGTGTGTGTGTGTGAGACACTTACTGGCCGCCCATGAATTCCCTCATAGTACAGAAGGTTCTTCTGCAGTACTGTTTTCTCACTGGCAAGCTGCTCCTTGGTCATTTTCTGTAAAGAGCGACAAATTAACTTCTCAAATTAGATCACGGCTGGATAAACTACATGACTTTTAATGTTTATTAAAGAAGTCTCTTCTGCTCATCAAGGCTGGATTTATTTGATCAAAACAGGAAAAAAAAATTAGAAATTTAGAATAACGGTTTTCTATTTTAATATACATTAAAATATAATTTATTCCTGGTGATATAAAGCTGTATTTTCAGCATCTTTACTCCAGTCTTCAGTGTCACATGATCTTCAGAAATCATTCTGATATGCTGATTTATTGTCAATGTTGGAAACAGTTGTGCTGCTTAATTTTTTTGTTTTCGTTTTCAGGATTCTTTGATGAATAAAAAGTTAAAAAGAACAGCATTTATTTAAAATAGAAATCTTTTCTAACAATATACACTACCGTTCAAAAGTTTGGGGTCAGTACATTTTGTATCCTTTTTTTTCTGAAAGAAATGTATACTTTTATTCAGCAAGGATGTGTTAAATTGACAAAAAGTGGCAGTAAAGACTTATATTGTTATAAATGATCTCTATTTTAAATAAATGCTGTTC